GGACAGGGACACGGGGACCCGGATAGAGCTATAGGGACACAGAGCCAGATAGACCGCGGGGACAAGGACACAGGAACCCGGATACGGCTATAGGGACAGGGACACGGGGACCCGGATAGGGCCATGGGGACACAGGAACCCAGATAGACCGCAGGGACAGGGATATGGGGACCCGGATAGGGCTATAGGGACAGGGACACAGGGATGTGCACAGGGCTGTGGGGACACAGAGCCGGATAGACCGTGGGGACAGGGACACGGGGACCCGGATAGAGCTATAGGGACACAGAGCCGGATAGACCGCGGGGACAGGGACATGGGGACCCGGATAGGGCTATAGGGACAGGGACACAGGAACGTGCATAGGACTGTGGGGACACAGAGCCGGATAGACCGCACGGACAGGGACACGGGGACCCGGATAGAGCTATAGGGACACAGAGCCAGATAGACCGCGGGGACAGGGACATGGGGACCCGGATAGAGCTATAGGGACACAGAGCCGGATAGACCACGGGGACAGGGACGTGGGGACCCGGATAGAGCTATAGGGACACAGAGCCGGATAGACTGCAGGGACAGGGACATGGGGACCCGGATGGGGGTATAGGGACAGGGACACATGGACGTGCATAGAGCTGTGGGGACACAGACCCGGATAGACCGCACGGACAGGGACACGGGGACCCGGATAGAGCTATAGGGACACAGAGCCGGATAGACTGCAGGGACAGGGACACGGGGACCCGGATGGGGGTATAGGGACAGGGACACATGGACGTGCATAGGACTGTGGGGACACAGAGCCGGATAGACCGTGGGGACAAGGACACAGGAACCCGGATACGGCTATAGGGACAGGGACATGGGGACCCGGATGGGGGTATAGGGACAGGGACACATGGCCGTGCATAGGGCCGTGGGGACACAGAGCCGGATAGATCGCGGGGACAGGGACACAAGAACCCGGATACGGCTATAGGGACAGGGACACGGGGACCCGGATAGGGCCGTGGGGACCCGGATAGGAGCTTGGGAATGGGGACACGGCGAGACCACGGGGACCAGCATGGCACCTTGGGGACAGGGCCGCACGGGGGCCGTGGGGACCCGTCCGGCCCCGTCGCGGCGCCGGTGACGGCACCCGTGTCCCCGCAGGCTGACGGTGACGCGGCGCGACGCGGGCGCCGTGGAGCTGGCGCTGGGTCCCGGCGGCCACCGCGCGCTGCTGACGGCCGAGCCCTTCCGCCTGGACCTGCTGCTGGGCCGCGAGCTGCTCTGCAGCGTCAACGCGCGGGGACTGCTGCGCATGGAGCCGGCTCGGCGGCGCCCGTGAGCGCGGGGACACCGGGGACACCGGGGGGAC